AGAAAGCTCAAATGCTATTTTCGGAACAGCCGCATTTTTCAGCTTCGAGTGTACACTTACAAGGAAGTGGATCCAAGCAACCTGGATCCGGATGAGTGTACCCATAATACGGTGACCATAATGATTACGCCATGGATCTGAAGATAATACAGCTGGGATGATGGGTCAAGGAAAGAAAGGACATGCAGCCGAGCCTGGTAAGGGATTTAACAAGTAAAAGACATAGAAGGTAGAAATCCAGGCAGGTATAGGCTTAAGTACCAATACAGTCTTCTATTTGCACTGTGGAGAGCAAGTGACCTGTAGTCGTCTCGGGGGTTGGATTTGGCCTCGGTCGATCGCCGTAACAGGGGTGAACATTGGCCCTGGACAAGGACAGCGTCTACTTCGCCCGCCAAGCATCAAGTCTCACTATGGAGTAATCAAGATCAAGATCACGAACTAGAGAACAAGTGGGTACGGAATCGTAACGGGATCATCAAGTAGAGATCAACTACGTATAGCGTTTCGACGGGGATTGGATTTGGCCTCGCAGAACAATCGTAGCGGAGATGAGCATTGGCCCAGACAAGTTTTGTGTATACTTCGACCCTAGGGACTAACTCAATAAATAAAGTCTTCTATTGCACAGTAACACGCAAGTGCCTTCCTGCCCTCAAGAAGCGGAACTGCATTGGCCGTACGAGCTCGGAGGGGGTTGGGAATTGCGAATCTAGTGTTGGTAGTGATAACTGGATAATACATTGGCCAGATCCTACAACCTAGTGAGCTTTTCCTTTACACGTGCAGATCCAACAGGTTAGCCGAATTACTACTTGGTCGCTTACACCCTAGAAGATCTCAACTCTCAAGATCCCGTCACAGGAGGGCAAGTGCAACACAAAGGAACTACGAAGGCAAGGGAACGCACCCGCAAGGCAGCCCTACGGCCATATCCACGATCTAGGCCCCGGATCCACAAGCTCGAATATTCGCTTAGGATTCGGAACCATCCACGGACGCAGAGTGAAGATTTCCCACTGCTGCTCCACCCCATCCCCACGTCCCGCCAAGACACTCAAGCTTCACCACTTGAACTCCTCGGAAGTTACCGAAAGAGCAAGATCCCGCCCTACCGACGGGTACACAAGGTGAGGAAAGTTCAGCAGAACACGGATCATCGGGGGACCCCCTCCGTTAGTCGGTGTCTGGTAAGCTGGATCCAGCAATCTCGCAGATTTTGCTGATCCCGCTACACCACAATGTCTACGACCGGTCAGCGTGACGATCAGCATAGGTTATCACGGGGAGTTGACAATAGTGCTGGAGAAATGGGTGAAGAGAATCAGACACGGGAGAAAGAAGCGCTTCTTGCACGACCACCACCGCGCCAGAAGTTCGCTGCTGTGGACGATATAGTGCTGCTCAAGGCCGTGAGCACCTTCCGTCCCTGGACACCGCGGCAGTTGGGAGGTCGAAGGGAATCATGAAGGTCTTCGATGACATCGGTATTCATCGTTGCTTAGATCAATCGTTTGGATTAAAGAAGCCTGGAACAGCAATGCGCACTCGCTTCACAAACCGCGTTACTCAGTACAAGACAGACCAGTGTCAATCGATGCGGAAGTCAGGGACAGTGGAGGAGTATGCCGAGCGTAAAATTTTACTTCAGAATGAAGTTACGCTGATGAATGACTGGGAGGATAAATAGGCACAACGCAAGGAGGATCAAGCGTATAAGCAACGTGGAATCGTACATTCAGGCGAGCTTTTGCGTAGTCTCGCGATGGGAGAAATCGCTTCTGAGAAATCAGTAGGTCAAGCGGGTCTTAACGACGGTAGTCAATGTGAAGATTCAGCAGTGAATCTGTGGAGGCATCAATTTTGTCTTGTACTGTGGGTGCTGCCACACCCAGCAAGAGGACCACTCGATCGTCTCCAGGTGCCAATAGCGGTTGCAAGAGAAAAATTACCAAAAGGAAGCGGCTAGATGTAGTGGCTAACGGGATACCTAGTGTTCTTTTGGCCAGCGAAGACGAAAAGGCCAAGTTTCAGTACAAGATGCAGCGCCTTCAGTTTGAGCGGGAACAAGAGGACAAAAATAGGTTACATGCTACCGAAAACGCTGAAAAGGGACGAGTACACAAGCTTCAACTAGAATGCCGTCGTTGTCAAGCCGACGAAGATCGTAATAAACGGATGCAAGAATTTATAATGAAAATACTCGAGCAGCAAAAGCAATGAAATACCCATGTAGTGCTCCGTCATGAAACTAATTTAACCCTAGATAAACTGCAAGAGGTGGGGGCATCAAACCGAAATACCTCGAAATTTGGTTCCCTAGTGGCTGTAAGCAGGTGTGGCAATTGAAAAGCAGTACAGCAACATAGAAGTTAAGCCCTACATCACTTTGACGGACGCGCTGTTTCTTATCCCAGTTCAGGGATCCCCATAGCGTCTTTATACGCCCAAACCTCCTTTCTACACTTTCACGCACGCTGCTCATGTCCTTGTTAAATGTTGCACCGGCACTACTGTCTACCGACGATGGTGAACAAACAAATCTGCTGCACCCGTATGCTGGATCACCGTAAATCACTCGGTTTCAAAAGACGCCGTCCTGGTTCTCTGCCATCACCTCCAGCACCCCAGTAATACTCAGCATAGTAGAATCTTTCTTTCGGCCTTCTACTGATCCAAACATGCTGACGATTATTCCGTCAGGTGCCTGAATACTCTGCCAGTTGAAGCAGTGTTTTCTCGGAAGACCATTGTAGACTGATCGTTGCAGGTTTTCATTGGGTATATACATCCATTGTCACGAGCACTTGGTCGTGATATGTACTGTTTCGCGCCATCAATAAAACCCCAGCAATTTTGGAGCGCGGCACCAGAACTCTGAGTAGCCATGCAATATGTTGCAAAACTTGCCGTGATCAGCGCTTCATTAAAGTACAGTACATCTTTGTGCGCTTTGTATAGCAACGTCATGGTTGCCGCGACAACACGGCTATATGCTGCCGTAGCCTTTCCGAATTCAGAAGCAAATGTGAAAGGCTTAGACGCCTCTGAAAGCCTTCGGCAAATTATGGCTAGCGCTTCGACTCGTGGAACATAATCTTCTGCTTCGGCTCGTACTCCATCGCGAGGCAGCCCCAACACAGAGGCCAGTTGGTTCAATTGAGCGACCGTAAAGCGAAATTAAACGCGGGCTGCTGCGTTGTCCATCATCCGTCAAAGCAACGAGAAGATTCAATAACAGCGGCCTCACGTAGCCGAAAGCAGTGTAGTTTCTTAAACATCTTCATAATCCTTAGAAAGTACTTCGTGCTGCCACGGGAAAGACGTCATGCTTCCGCTAGCACCTCCGCCGCTTGGTCGCAGCTAACTGTGGGCCAACAAACATCGTGAGCGTTCTGGAATGCTACCAGCGCCTTCCATGTCAATACATAATCAACGGGGGGTAGGCTTGAGGAAATTATGTTCACTAGCTCAAACCTACACACGTTTGAATTGACATACAACCCCTAAACTACGTCTATCTCGAACTGAAGCTGAAACGTGCACGAAAACCAGACTCCGAAAGTTCTTTAATAACCCCAACACCTTGACATTTAAAAGACAGAAAATAGGACCAAAAGTTAGCGCCTTGGTTCGGTAGTACTATCATCATTTACACGGTCCTCCTTCCATGGAAATAAAGCCCTTTACGACTTCTATATGTGGTGTGCTCATCCGGATGTCTCGGTGCACTACTATCTACTGGAAATACTGCTCAATGTACAGTACTACTAGTAGTATAGTACTACGTAGTACTAGTAGTAAGTAGTAATTTGAGGTGATGAGCAAATTACTAGTACTAAGGTAACCAGTGGTTCAGATTTCGAACGTGAGCTACTGATGTGTTACTGTCTGTAGCTGAAGAGATCCAGACGATACCTGAACGTCTTGCTCTATAGGTCAACGTTCGCTCTCTGTTTCTACCGCTGTAAGCGTCATGTGTTGAGCTTTGGATATCGTTTGATATCTGGCTCAGCTCGCAAAGGGATGCAACTTGCATTGCAAGAGGTGATCATCACACGGCCACGGCGGCACCTCCACCTTCACGCCGGGTCACACCGGCATCTGCATCTTCACGCCGGGCCACATTGGCATCTCCGCCTTCACGTCGGAAAAGTTCAAAGCTGGTGCTGAATTTCCAGAAACATAAAACACCAATCAAGAGCTACGCCTTCGAAATCGCCGATGAAGTGTGCCAACCTGTCCTGAGCTGTCAATGACGGACCCCTGCGCTGTGTGCAGGCGTGGTGCTCCCCACATATGCAGCAATGACCTGTATAATTCGGGCAAGCTTTCGGAACGATTCAGGACTGCCAGTTGCGTCTACAAAAGCTAACCAAGGACGACTTCACGGCACTACTGTTGGCTCGTCAGAATGGTATCGCAGGAGGGTTAAAGCGATTTGTGAGCACATCAATGTCATTCGCTGGTTCCGTGAGTCTGGTCGATTCATATTCCCGTCCGTCGCAGCCCTTGCACGTATTTGGCTAGGGAAGTGTCCTTCCAATGCTCTACAGGAACGAGTGTTCTCGACTGGTGGGTTTGTTATGAGCAGCCTACGAACTCGGACGGACAACAAGCGCGCAGAGATCCAGGTGCCTCTTAAACACAATCGCAAGGTTCGACGCATGCAGGATGAGATCTATAGCGCTGGTAACTAAAGTGTCCACCGAAGAAATTACTGCAAACTACTGTAGAACTACTATAATACTACTACTACAGTAATCTAGAATTTGCTGTAGTAGCACTAGAAACTAGTGCTACTACAGCAAATTGAAAGACTCTTTCGTCGAGTGTGTGGAAACTCACAAACGAAGTCTACATAGTATGAAGAAAGCTCTGTTATATCAGACATTTCGCACTTGAACTGGTGCGCTGCACAAAATCGGGCAAGCTCTCCGTCGTACTTAAACAAATTTTGGTCCTTTTTTCAAGGACAAAAAATGCTGGGGACATTTTCACTACGTAAGCAGCTTGGTCACAGCGGCGGCAAACAAGGGGTCAGCCAAAACTTGGGACAGCGAAATACGGTGACGCGGGTCGATCTGGAGCATCTTTTTCAGCAGTGTTATAGAGCTAACCGAAATGCGATTCGAATGACCCCATGACACGAAAACGGCACCGACGCCATGCTGAGCCACGGCCTTGAAGCCTTTCGTGGATGGTGAGGCGAGAGGTAGCAGCGGGGAGCCCGTCAGCAAGATGAACCACATGATCCCGAGAGACCACACGTCGGCCAACGCGGGGTCATAGTGCTCACCTGCCACGATCTCTGGTGCCATGTAGTATTCCTTTCCCACTTGGCCGCCTTCGCAAATGATCTGAGCGTCTGTGGAGAGCCCGAAATCCGTGATCTTGCACACACCTCGACTTAGCAAAACGTTTTCTAGAGACAAGTCTCGGTGGGCGATGCCCAACACCGTGTGTAGATAGCAGACCCCTTCCAATACTTGCCGCATTAGCGATACCACCTCTCGCTCAGTCAGGAACGTCGATGCGTCGACTCTCGCAGCTACGAGAGAATGAAGATCTCCGTCTCCACACAGCTCGTTGACGAGGTACAATGTCTCGTCGCGGACGAAGTGCAAGTAGGGCTGCACGACGTTGCGATGGCCACCGTTGGCCGCTAGCAGTGCTGCCACGCGTTGCTCTTGAAGCGGGTTATCGATCTCCCTTGCGCCTTGGATTCGAGCTCGAGCATCAGCTGCTCTTGTGAGCGAGATGCACTTGACTGCAACAGGTTCCTCGTGGTTAGGGAGGTTGCACTCGACCACTTCGCCATACATGGCTGGGCTGAGCTGGCGACGCACATGGAGATACGGAGGTGAGATCATGGTGTTTGGACCGAGCTATGGTTCTGCCCAGGAACGATACGCCAGCGGAGTGTAATGTCAAAATGAGTTTTCGAGCTATGAGCACATCGAACGAGACAAGGAGTGTATCTTCCGAGACACTCAACGCAGTAGCCATGCGAAATGCTGATTTCATCCCCCTAGAAACGCGAGCGCATACGGGCGCTTGCTGACCGATTCAATCAGCGACAGAGTTCGTCACCTGAAGAGGTGAGATCCACACAAGATGGACCGTTTCGGTGCGGTGCAAGAGTTCTTCGATTGATTAGCTGAAGACAACTTCGTTATTGTAACTTCGTTGCCTTTCAAACTTCCAGCACTGTCCCGAATGATTCCTGATGCGTAAGCCCAGCGACAACGAATATTAATTTCTCGAAATCCGGCGCGAGTCTTCTTAGCCTTGACGGTGGAACCCGCAAAAGTCCTGTACTCATGATTCATGAGTGTGAATTTGCTCGGCATGAGTCAGAAATGAACTTGCTTATTCGCAAGGGACACACTGACGTAGAGCTACTATCGCATAATATTCTAGCTCTTACAGCATGTACATCAAAGTAATCAAACGATAACAGCTACGTAAGAAAAAGGAAAACGACAGCAGCTCTTCACGGTGAGGCTATTTGAGGAAAAAAGAAGTTTCCTGTTTGACCTCGTGCGTTCCGATCGATGACTACACCACTAACATATTTGGCGTTTGCAACTTACTGCCAAAATCAAGGATCCATTAGTGCAACTGGAGTACCTGGTGGTACGACCACTGGTTGATGCAATCGAGGTATTAATAGCTCTGACGGAAGGCCACAACTCTTTTGTGCGTGGGCTATGGGCAGATGCCTCAGTAAGTGTCTGATTGGGGCCAGCAAAGTGAGCCACGTTGTACCCAAGGACTCCCCGACAAAGTCCGCTCTACCGAGTAGTGCAGGTTCGTCCAAGAATCTGATGGCTCCACTTTCCAACCCCAAAAACGAAGACTCGACTAATACAGCATCAGAGCAGCAGTGTAGTACAAGCCTTCAAGTCCGCCCAAGAGATCCCGTGTCTTCACCGGCAAGGCTCGGACGCTCGCATTCAACCGCAGAAATTCCTACAGCGAAAGGTGGAGCTTCATCACCACACAGTCATGCTGGCACAGTAGCCAGGGTTTCCTAAAAATATATTGTAATAAGCAATAATTGCCATATTATGCCATACCATTATGTATTTCGAGCCGCACGACTCCCGCGTCAATAACTTATTTCGGTAGATTTAGTCCAGAGTAACATATTTTGTCATTTTGAAATCAAAAATTTACTTATCATAACCCTATTGTATTACTTAGTAACCAATAAGAAAGCGGCCGCTGGAGCTACTCGACAACCAACCGTTCATGCTGCTGCTCTGAGCTGAGGCCAGGCTCATTTGTAAATTCCGTGCTGGCATGGATAATCTTCTCTCCCCAACGCGATCACCAGTTTCTCGCTACACCAGAAAGCAGATCTGCGATGTATTTTTCAAGCCAATCCGTGACGAGAATGACGACTGTATGGGTTTCTATCGATGTCGCTGCGGCGTACAGCGGAAACAGGACGCCAAACGTGGCTACACGAACCTAATCAACCACATTTATAGTCAACATCCTGATTATGAAACTACTCTAGACAGTTTTCAAGGCGGCAACAATGGCACACTCTTGTCGTTCGTAGACAAAAAGAGCGCCAATATATTTGGATGGCTAGAGTGGATTGTTGATGCTAACTTGCCGCTCTCATTCTGCGAGAACAGCCTAACGCGACGCTACACGACCCTCAAGCCCATATGTGATGATACCTTGGTCCACTACATGGCAGCTGTTTGCCAGGAAGTGCTGCGCACGTTCAGCGAATTTCTCCCTGAAAGATTTGGTATCGTATTTGACGGGTGGTCTTTCAAAAGTGAACATTACGTGGGGGTCTTTGCCGCTTTTGGTCATGATGGTAAGCGGGAGACTGTACTATTGGCGATGGCGCCTCTACTAGACAAGGAAGACTGCAACAACCATCCCCATCACGATGCTGATGCACATGTTGCGTTCCTCAAGACGATTTTAAAGCCGTTGAAGCGGCGCATCGAATGTGTCCGCTTCCTGGTCGGCGACAACTGTTCCGTCAATGGAAGCATCGCGTCAAAGCTGGGGATTCCGTTGGTCGGCTGTGCCAGCCATCGACTAAATCTCGCTATGACCCAGTATCTGGACGAGTATGAAGACATTCTGGAGAAAATCAACGATCTTATGAAGTTCCTGCGTGGTCTCAATCAGTCGGCAAAGTTAAGGTAAGCCGTATCTGAGTTTTATTCTATATCCGAGTTTTATTTAATTTGTTTTTATGCGGACTACATAGACACAAAACACCACTCCGGCCAGTTATTCGGCAAAAGACTCGATGGTCCTCCACGTTTTCCATGGTGGAACGCTACTTCAAGCTCAAGCCCTTCCTGGACTCCGCGGATGACGACTTAGCAGCGTACATGCCATCCCCACTGGAAGAGAGGCAGCTGCGTTCAACGCTTGACGATCTGAAGGATTTTGAGTCGGTAAGCAAGAAGCTCCAGGAGGAAGGTAACTTAACGCTGGCAGATGTTCGTGCTTTGTTTGACAGCCTCATGGAAAAAGCACCATCCCTAGGGAGCTATCTGGCTCCACAGGCTCCCATAGTCAAGTTCCCGATATTCGAGATGGCGTGCGTACAAGTTCTGAACGGAGAGATTCGGCTTTTGACGCGAAACTCTGTCGCGGCTCTAGCTCAATTTGCTGCTCCAGCCTTAATCCAACCTCAGCATGCCGCAGCCAACAAGGAAAATAAAAAGCTCAGCTTTGCTGAGCAAGCACTTAAGAAGCGGAAGGTGGATGCGCAACAGCAACCGAGGTAGGAGCTTTTTAAATGTCGTTGTCATGTCAATTTGACCAATTCCTTTTGTATATGAACAGATACGAGTTGGTGCAATACATTCCACCGACGTCTAATATTGCCGAACGT